CTAGTTAAGTGATGACCCTAAGCTATGTATAAATATGTAACAGAACATTGTACAAATATATGTGGATACTTAAGAAATATTAGTTGTAAGATAGTAAAACACAGAGACAAGATAAAAAAACAAACAATTTAATGGCAAGCAAAAATTAAACACAAAATAAAAATATAAAGCCCTAACATACGTAAGATAATGTAAAAAAGCATTGGAAGAACCCAAGTGGAATTAAAATCAAAAACTAAACAGAATGTAAACACTGACTTCGATATTGATATATGACAGCAATAAAATGAAACTGTCACCGAACAAGTTAAAAGAATTAAAAAAATTTAATTAGTAAAGAAATGATGAATCTGGCTTGATGATAAGCACTTAACTGCGTTTTTCATCATGAGATTGTTTACAAATTGCTATGGGGAATAGAACACCATTAATACTGGAAAAGTGATGTAACTTTAAAAATTTATATAAAATCAGAGGGAGGGGATAAAATAAAAAGAAAGATGTCGCCTAATCAAAAACAGTTGGGAGAAAGAAATATAAAAATTTTAGATAAAAATATAAAGAGCAAGATATTAATTAAAGTGTACAAAGTCAGCTTTAACAAATGGCAAAATTTAACATAGCGAAAACCCAATCGTGACATATTTTGAAAAGATACAGATAATAAAAGTACCAGACCACCGGAAATTAAAAACTTAATAAATTCAGATAGATAATCACATAGGTGTTTGCAATAGAATGTTTTTGACCAAGAATGAGATCGAAAAAATATTAAAATAAGTAGCCAAAGTTAGCGAAAGATTCCACTTGTAGTAGATGACACGTTATTATGGCGGTCTGATACTCTAAGCCTAAATCAATGGAACATCAGATTTCAAACACTCAAAAAAGGGAAAATTGGCCAACCGGAGGCCGGAAAAGACTCACCAGGAATGCCTTGTGGGATTACATGTTGAATTTAATTAACTTCGGGGTGAAAAAATGGATATTTATTTCGTTTAGAAGATATTTTTGAGGACTCCATAGGAGTTGTTGTTTCGTTTTTGAGGATCTAGATCAGCTTTTCCGTAACACTGGCCTATGGTATACTGCCATACAAATTTCTATGGTTGCCATAGGAGAATGGTGACGTGCCATATAAATGCCATACAGGTCTCTATGGTAACCAATGGTCTATGGTATCTTGCCATACAAATTTCTATGGTAGCCATAGGCTTATGGGGTTTTGCCATAGAAATCTCTATGGTAATCATAGGCGTATGGTATCTTGCCATACAAATTTCTGTGGTAGCCATAGATTTATGGGGTTGTGCCATACAAATCTCTATGGTAACCATAGGCGTATGGTATCTTGCCATACAAATTTCTATGGTAGCCATAGGTTGCCATAGATTACCATAGGCTTCTCTATGGCAAATTTTCCTAAGGGAGGCTACTAACTGGAAATTTAAATTTTCAGATCTACTTTTTAGTTGGAGTGAACATTCAGGTATATTCTGCTATGAAAATTTATCAAATTCAATGCTTTTAATTCATTGCACAATAATATGAAGCCAACAGAAAATTTTCGAATTTTTTTTAAACGTCCTTAGTAAAAATTGTACAGACTTTCCAGCTTTGCTCTTCATTCACCATAAACACCATTTTGAATTGTTATTTTCAATCATTTACAAATTAATATAATAATGATGCATCAAAAACATACACATCAGTCTATATTCGAGAAATTTGAATAAAAATGCTTAATTCATTGTTTTATAATATTTTAAACATGACATTTTAATACGGTAACAATATTGTTTGTATTAAGCTTAAAACATTCTATAATGTATTGGTTTTAACTGAGCTAAAAATAGCAGATTATTAATTTTTAATTGTTTTAACAAGGCAAATTTGCTAACAATCATTTTTAATTTTTTTCATTGTTGCAGAAAAATTCTCTCACAGACGAGTAACTAAGTAAACGTTGTTTAACAGGCATATTCTGAATTAATTACAGTACTTATTATTTATAGTTCGACAATACATTTTAACAGAGAAGTTAACTATACGCGTGAACTACTCATAGTCAATAATGATCACAATCTATATATATATTTCTCTTACACGGCACCAAAAAAAAGCCTCATTACAACTCCCCGAATGGCAACGTTAGAAAATCGACCAATGATTGCTGCTAAAAATGTCACATGGCAAATGTCACATGAGGTGGCTCAACATATAGCGCTTTTAAAAACGGAAACAATAACCAGAGTGAGCATTATCAGGTTGTTCAATTCAGATTCATGCACTAAAAACATGACAATATTTAATTTAAACTCAATTAGGAATTAATTAATTAATTGAAGTGAGAATGCTTTAAAAGGCCGCTGTTGAATTGATATTTTTCTACTGGGAGCTACCTAAACGTCTAAAAAACGTTTAAGTGTTTGTATTGAATGCATTGAATTTTTTTATATTTCGCGTTTATTTATGCATTGAATTTTCACGCTTTAAAATGCAGAATATTAGTGAAGCAATATTTGATAATTTATTTTGCTAATATGTTTCTTATTTAGCTAATGTTTTGATTTTTTCACCATGTACAATCTAAATAGCTAATATACTTTTTTAAAAGCCAATAAGAACATTGGTAGAATTCTTCTACATAAGTACAATACTATGTCTTTGATGATAAAATACTATGTCTTTGATGATAATATACTATGTCTTTGTGCTAGAACATTGTGTTCAATGGCGAGCGAGCGCAGCAAGCCATGGTTCACGGCGTGAACCACATAGGATTGCGTAGCAATTCTCGGGGGTTGGCGAGCGTTAGCGAGCAGGGGGCAGAGCCTCCTAGTTCATAATATTTACTTACTTTATTAGGTATATGATCATTAAATTAATTCTTAAAAGTTTTGATTAAGCTGTCAAGATTATTAAGTACACTGAATATTTCTACAGCATCATCCTCTCTAGCAGATGGTGCTTTATATTACTTTTCTAGCTAATTTTTAACTAAAGGAAAAACACACACACTACCTACGATACACTATACGGAGAGATCTCCGTGTAGTGTTCTGTTCCAGAATAATCGCCAAGTCTTGGCAACTTCCCACGAGAAACCTAGAAATGTGTAACTCGTAGCCACCCCCGGGCAAACATCTACATGTATTTTTTTTTCTTAAATTTTTAAGTTTGAAATCTATTTGGCACCTTGGCGATTGTAGTTGGCGCGAAAGATCACGATATGGAAATATCTCCGAAATTTATAAAGTTTACTAAAAATAACTAAATGATAAATACCTTAAGTTGTTAAAAGATTAATTCTAGTTGACGGACAACACACAAACAATATAGCGAATGTAAACAATCATGAAGAAGTTATGACTCAACAGTTGATAGCGTTTTTCGAGTTGTATCGTTCGCGAACTACCACTAATATTATCTTGCGTTTTCCGGCTAAAAATGATATTTTAAGTAATATTTAATTTATTGTTTTCTTTCATAAATAAATGCTTATTTATTAATAATTGGATAGCCTTTTACAAAAAAGTGGAGCTGGACCAAAAATAATGAAATAGATGATAATTTTAAAAGTTCGAATGTTAGACTGAATACTATTTAATGATATATAATATTAGCAAATAGGATTCAGAAGTCTAGCGTTTTCCAGCATGGCAGTATTATACTGTATCTTTCTAATGTTAGATAATATCATTTTGCAACTTGTAATCTCTCATCTTTAGCAGTAGTTACAGAAGCAGTTAATACCAAAAGGCACAGTTTAATTACTGAAGTAAGTGATTTTTTGTAGTTTTAAGGTTTTTGGAAGACATCTCTCAAACACATGTCCTTATCGTTAGATAAATCACACAGAATTTCCAGTTCAGCCAGCAAGGAGTGAGTGTCCACTTTCATTTCAGAACAAAGTTGTTTTACTCTCTCAATAGTTTAATTTATTTACCCTTTTTTTTATTCATAGTCAATTTAAGATCAAACAGTCTCCTTAAAACACCTATGCACGATTTTAGATTTTTGTTCATAAAATTTATAGTAGAGTAAAAAAATATATGGAAATGACTCCTGTAAAAAGTTGTCAAATCTAAGGTTGCTTGATTATCCCTACTTTCATCCAGGTACAATGGAGCCACTCTTCTTCGATGAAGAGCTTGAAAATTTTCCATTGGATTCTCGACAGGTTTTTAAAATTTAAAAATAAATAGCTAAAAAACTTTTTCTTTGCGTTGAACTCTTTAAAATACGAGGGTTGTAAATTAAATAGTGGCAACTTAACCTTGAAACTCACAGAAGGGCGGGCATGCGCAAATAGGACATGGGAGTGGTGAGGTTATTTTAAACATGAAACAAGAGTTAAAAATATTGACGCTTAGATTTTTATACATCAAATTAAAGATAACTTGACCATTTTGAAACTTTTTTTTATAGCATTTAATGCGCTTAACTCGTAAAATCTACTGATACTCCGTATAAAGAAAACTACTTAAATTTGGAATAAGTCCCTTAGAAGCGCTATATAAATTTATTTATTTCAATAATAAACTAAAAATCTTGCCGTCTTAAATTCACATAGGAAATGCCATTGAAATGGTTCGTTCGAAAAATTGTTTGGAACGCGTTTGGAAGGAGACGGGATTTGACGTCATAAAATACGTCATCACTGTCCCTGTCTATAAGCCATCTGGGGAGAAACCGGTTTCATGCCTTTAGCCCTTCTCCCTTCCCTCTCCTCCTCTTTTCAGTTGTATAGGAGTGTACTACGATATTTTCCCTCTTCTTAATATTTTTCCTTTTTATTTAATAAGAATATTTTTTAAAACTTCCATAATACTTTTTTTTAGAACTATGTTTAATGTAGTTTTCAGTTCCATGTAGTTTTTCAAGTTAAAAGATTTTAATCTATATGAAAATCAAGAGAGAAACTAACGTACTTCCTTCCTCTATGACTTTCCACACGCTAATAAGGAAAGCATGTGAAGCGTTGCCATAGGAAAAGAGTTCTGCTCTACGCCACCTGCAGCCCATTTCGATCGCCAATCTATGAAACTCGGTAATTGTAAATATTTTATTTAAAAAAATTAAAAAATAAATTACTTGCGAGTAAAAATGTAAGTTAACTGTCAACCTTATCCTCTCACTCTTTTTTGTGCACACGATCCTTCCTCGTTTACACGATCGTACATCTTTTAGTCTTTTATATTAAACGAAGGAGCTGTGAAAGTTCATGACTCTGTTGTCAACATAGTTTTTAAGCTCCAATAACTCCCCTGATAGTATTGCCGCTGATGTTCTGTTATACTATATTGCATTAGGCTTGGTATGTGTATGTAGTAAATCTTAAAGCTATACTTAATATTTGTTTTGTAATATTATAATGCAATGTTATAAAAAGCATATTTATAATTCAATTTTGATTGCCTGTGATTTGTAAAACTGTCATTACACTGTATTGAGTTCTTTGGCGATGTTCCACTGTAATGTATTTGTTAATTGCTGATTAAAAATAATCATAAGCTTATTCATTAATGTAACAGGCGTTCCGGTTTCACCATATTTGTCGAAATCAATGAATTGAGTTTACTACTGTATACTTTTTCATAATGGTTGTATTATTCCAATGACAGTGATGCCAACTACTACGCTTTTTGGCGAAAATTTTAATAAATTGGTAGCGAATATAATAGTACTTAAACTTTTAGAATATGGATAATTATGTCAATTCTTTAAAAGTGTCACCTGGAAATATGTACAATAAAGTTTCATGTGATACTTTGAAATTTTGATATGTAGTGGTTATATTTCGTGACCAGCAGAAAATTTTTTTACACAGCAATGCACGTTGGCCTCTTTGCATTGAATTGTTTGTTACTTTGACTTATTATTTTAATTCTTGGTTGACTTATCACAACCATCGTTTTGTCAATAGTTATTGGGTAACAGGATTCCTAATATTTGACTTCGTAGATTTGTGATTTCTTCATATTTTCCAAAATCTATGAATGAAAATCTAAGATTCGAAAATTTAAATATATTAACTGCAGGGTTCGTACAGACTCCTTAGAAACTCCTTGGAAATAAAAAGGTCCCCAAGGAGTACTTGGAACTACTTAGATTTCCAAATTAGTCCTTAGAAGCTCCTTAGATTATTGTGTTGCATAGATGAACTTTCTAGGTCCGCTGATGAATTTGCTGTCCAAGCAGGGGAACGAAATAATATGACTTAGCTGTCAAAATCTAATAGTTTAAGAAAAACTTTAAAAGAAAAAAAAATTTAATTGCAAGAGTTAGAAGAAAAAAAATAACAGCAAGTAATTTTAATTTTACATGTTAGAAACAAACTTAGTTAATGATTTACTTTTTTTTTGGTATAAAATGCCTTAGATTTTATGTATTCAAATTTAAAAATGTAAGATTGGTAGGTTTTTATGTTAATCTTTAGTATCTCTACTATGTACTTTAACAAGATTTATTAAAATATTTGAAGCTGGAAAATGTATTTATGTGTGAAAGTGATAACTTTATTTCTTTTTCTTGATGAAGTTTGACAAAGTAAAAATTTATTTCAAATGGGCTAGAAAAAAATATCTTATGCAAAATATACATTTTTGCAAGTTCTTTATAGTAACTGTTTTTTTTATTTATTATTTTTTTAAAAATTTGTCCAGTTATCTTTTATGCAAAGTTTTTAAATTTTGGACTCCTTGCATACTCCTTAGATTTCTTTTTCTGATCACTGTATGAACCCTGTAACTGTAACACGGGATAGACTGTTATTTCAGGTGAGAACATTTACGCATTATATTCTGTGGCAGAATAATAGCTAAGTCAGCGACAAGTGAGAAACTGAAGGGAAAACATCACTAAAGGGGACTAACACTAAAGCATTTAACTCGTAGCCAACCCCCAGAGCAAACCTTTTGTTAAAAAATTTGAAAGTTAAAAGTCCATTTGAAGTCTTTGGGATTGTAGTTTGTGTGATAGATCACACCTTTTCTATATTTATCTGGAAAAATTTTTGTATCTAGATCTGTGGCAGAGACTTCGTGCAACGGCTTGCTAGAATCTGAAAAAACAAACACAGAGGTACCTACATTTATTATGACATGCAATCACTTATAGATATTTCTTTGTACAGATTTCATCAAATAAACTACATCAATAAATGAGCGATTCTTTACTCGCGATACGTTATAATATCGAGCTAAAATACCGAAGTTTTAAAGCCATGAAGAAATGCGTAGCAATAGCTGCCGAAAAAAGGATCAAAAGTTCTTTAGATTTTTCAAGAAGTCTGCACAAATAAAGCGTTTCAAAAATCGTGCTTTCGGAAACTTCGTGGAAATGGGTAGCAATAACTACCGAAAACTCATTGGATTTACGATGACGGCGACACATACGAAGAGCGATAAAAGTGATTACTGAGATTCGCATATCGTAATAATGATGTATTAAAAATATTGGGATTTTCAAAACTATGCTTAAATCAGTAGCGTTAGTCATCGAAAAACTACATCGATTGAGATTGGCAAAAACTTAAATGCGTAAATTTCAGATTTCCGAATTTTTTAAAAAAATTTAAAATTTTGTTCAGATTGCGGCCGCGGGCCGCATATCAAAGGTTGGCGGGCCGCGTTTGGGCCGCTGGTTGTGCACCCCTACTCTAAAACATAAGGTTGATATAACGTGAGTATTCAAAATTGTAGTTATATTTACTCATAAATGCTGGTTTTATTTTGACAAAATCCACTACCAATCTAATCATTCCACTTCCTTCAAAATTTTTGAAATCTGTTGTAAGATTATGGTGTTATGCTGGTTACCAAGAGCCAATTTCTAAATACATCCTGAAAACTGAAAAGTAATATAAATCAAAGTATGTGATTACCACATACTTCATCTCCAAAACAAACCACCTATTACAACACCTCATGAGAAAAGAAAAGATAGTTTTCGTACAAGAAAATACAATACCAATTTAAACCTGAGCAATAACAATTTAAACTTGACACCAAATTTTTATTTTTAAAGTTTTTTGCATTGCTGATCATAAATATGTATTCTTAATTGTATGATCTTAGTGTGAAAAATATTAACAATAAGTTGTTTATGAGATAAATTAATTGTAATTGTCTAAGTCAAAGTTGCAGTTTTTTTTTTAATCTTGTATAAGTATTCACTAAAAAAAATTTTTGAGGTTCATAGCTTCGTTACTATTGAAGAAAAATATTTTTTACGTTTTTTTTAATTCTGTAGTCAAGTTTTCATATGACTTAGTGTTTTTAAATTAATTCAAAAGTAAACAAATCTATACACTTGGACAAATCTTTCAACTAAAGAACACAATTTAGAAAGCATTACTGTACACAATTTAGAAAGTATTCTAAATATTTGGATTTAATTCTTACATTTGAATTTGTTCATTTTTGTTTGTATTGCTATTATTTTCAGAAAAGAGGGACAATTAATTGCTGAGGGAGTTGCAGATTCCACTACAGCTCATACTGTTAGTTTAGTTAATCGTCAAAAAACAGCAAAAGGTGCTCCGGTAAGTATTACTTTATTAGAACTTTTTTCTACCCATTTTTATGCATTTTTATGGGACATGAAACTGAAAGTGATGCAATATACTCATTTATTAATATTTCCTTATGTGTATAATAATCATCCTTATATGTAAAAATTTAGCTTTAAAATAAGTATATATATTTTTTGTAAATGCATTTTATAGGTTGAGTAAAAAATTTTCCGCCAAAAAAGAACAATCTTGTAAAATGCAAAGATCAGCAAAGCTGATGAGGATAGTAATTTCCATTCAAATCAACAATAAGAAAAACAAATTTTATAAATGAAATAAATTAAGATTTATTAGGAAAAAATTAAATTATTAGGAGCAAATTCTGTAACAGTAAAAATAAGTAAAGAAGTTAAAACTAAAAATATTGATTTGATTTATTTTTTGCACACAAAGTGAGTTAGCGTAAAGAAAATAGATTTGAAAATATAAACTGAACTAAATGACTTGATGAAGTAATAACTTAATTATCTCTTTTAACTCTGTTTAAAAAAAGTAAAACAAACCGTAAGCAAAAACAGATAATTGGTTAATAGATCTTAAAGGGGACTAAGATAGAAATGAAACAAAGTGACAAAGATAAAAATTACAATTCTGCATTTCTTAATCTATGCATATATTAATAATCAATGCCAATTTGACTCTTAAACAGTTGGTTTAAATTTTATCTGTAAGTCCGAAGCATGCTTATGTAAATTATCTTCAAAAATTTTCATGCTGAGGGAATTATCCTTGAAAATGTTATTGAAAACAATCAAAGAAATGTTTATATCTCAATGTCTATCAAACAATATTTCTCAAAGGCGACAGTTACGTTTTATAGTTGTTAGTTTTCTTTTCATTGTGAGCAGATAAACTTATTTATTTCAAAATGTTTAAATGCTCTTATATTTTCTCTTAGTTTAAATTAATTGCTCTAATAATTTTATTATAGTTTTATTTTGTTAACCTTTTATTTATTATTATTTATTTGTTAACCTTATATTTATTAACCTATATATCAGTACAATATATTGTGGAATCATTTGACTTCAAAGCACATGCGCCAAATCCGTGGTATTGGCGATATCGGATTTCAAACATCTGCACGTTTTATCAACCCTCAACGGTATTCTTAGTTACTGATTTTGGTTTCATTTTGAGAATAGCGTGCTTCTGGTTTTAAAAATATCCGAGATAGTCGAAGTTGCTTTTGGATCTCCGTTGGAAAATGAATAATACAGAGGAAATAAAGATAATTATATTAATAAAATTTTTCTGTTTTAAAATAATGATGCTTCATAGTCAGTTGATTCTATGGGATACTTACCCTGCGAGCTAATATAGGATAAATACTATTCTTTTTAAATGATGTTCTTTAAGCACATAAAATTCTTACTTGTAAAAAAGTCTAGCATTTATAGTGTACACAACAATTTAATTACCAGGGTATATCATAATATCGTGATATGAAGCACACAATATCAAAATTCTGATATTGCCCAGCCCTAGTAAAGGGATATATTGTTATATCCACAGGGTTGCCACAGGCTACTAAAATGCGACTATTTGCTACTATTTTTGGCCTTAGTCTACTTATTTTGCCTGAAAAGGTTTAAAAAGCAACTATTTTCAGGAATAGGCAACTATGGGGAGACTTTTTTACTCTTAGCAAAGATTTTTCACAAAAATGAATGTTATTTTTCAGAACGTTAATAAAAGAAAGCAAACTTTTATACAATCATTTATGTCCAAAAAGCCAGAAATTTAAATTTCCATTAGATGTAATAAAGTACTTGCTAATTTTTCTCTCTGTGAGGCAGTTTTGTTATTTTAAAATTGTTTTTTCCTTCTATTAACATTCATTTTTTATTGTAATTAGACTTTTATTTAGGTACCTATTTTCTAATATGTATACCTTTTATATTTGCATAGTACTGGGTGATAAAGCGATGTATCGCGAAATATCGATTCAATGCATTTATCGGTAGGCCGATATTGTGACTTTCATATTAGGCAATGCATTAGAAATCTGATTTAAGTCACCGAAATAAGGCTATAATCGTGGTTTGACGATTTAATATGCAAAGATCTTTGACTACGCTAATGCTGTTATTGAACTGCCGAAGACTATTTTGTCTAGCTGTGGATTTGTAGATAGGGTTTAGCTATAAAAAATATGTTAGTTTCGTGATCTTGAATGTCAAAGAGCAAATTGAATCAGAACTCACATTTTTGTGCTAGGATCAGCGTTAATATGGAACTCAATACATAGTTTCAAAAAGTCCATTTATTTTGTCTTTGGGATTTTGCGTTTTTTGAAGATTATTTTAAATGGGACGGGTTTTAAGTCATTTTGCAAATGTTGTGCATTTATTTTGTCAGGAATACTTGTCGGGTTTCTTGTGAATTTTTTTCTGTGAGACTTTTGCTACTTTTCATACCATTTTTTTTTTCCTGTATGGATTTAACTATTCTTGTTAATTATTTTTAGTAGACCTACTGTTACTTTGCAATTGCTGCACAATCGCTGTTGTCTTAAATTTTTGTTCTGAACTTTATTGATCAATGAAAAGGAAATATAAATAATAAAAAAAAGATTCTTCATTGATTTTTCATTAATTGTTTTTCAATTTTAAGCGATACAATTTAGTAGGGGTATTTTGTACTTATTTAACTTCATTATAAAAAATTAGTTTTTTAAAAGTTATTTAATGTAGGTAATTATAATTTTGTAACTTGTTTATTTTTAAACCAATAAATGTTCAGTCGTTTTAATTATAAAAAAAATTAAAACAAATTTGTAAAAAAATAATACCTTTATTTAATTTACTTTTATACTGAAAACGGTGTTTTAAAAAAAAATTGGCTATTAGTTAATTGGCTATAATTTTTTTTAATTAAATTAAGAGATTAATAATGTTTTGATACTTTTTAATAGTTTAACATTCGTACTTGAAGTATTTCTTTTTAATTTTTATTAGAATTCGTTCAATACTTGTTTGTTTTATAATTTGTTAGATAGTCAGTATAATTTTTAAGCAAATAAATCTTTAGTCAATTTTATTTTCAAAAAAGAAAATAATAAATAAGTAAAAATATTTTTACATTTATTAAGTACAGAATTTGACCATTAGTTAATATTACTTTTTATTTTTTTAAATAAAAGAGGATTTAATGATGTTTCAAAAACATGTTGTTTTTTTTCCCCATCAAATAACTTTAAAAAAAAAAAAAATTTCTCTTAAGTGAACATTTCTTAGGTTTGTTTTCTACTTTTTTTAAAAAAAAAATTTTTTTAACGTATGTATGTAACATATTTTGTTACTGTATTATTATTTTTAAACAATAAATCTTAAATCATTTTTTAATTTAAGAAAAGTGAAATAAAGCTTGGGTTTGTTTTTACTTCTTTATTATTTTGATTGAGAAAAAAATTAAGCAATGATATTGATGTCATGGTAGAATATGTTTAGAATGAATATTTTTTTTTGTAATAGATTTATTCCTTTTTATTTAGTTTTGATTAATTTAAAGATTTCCCATAGGTAATTTTTGATCATATGCTAAATCGCGCTACATTGCTATATTGCGTTGTCTAACTGACGATGTATCACGATATAAAATTTCTAACATCACCCAGTCCTAATCATAGTATTCGACAATTAAACTATAATTTTAGTGATTTGGCTACTATTTTCGATAAATTTTTGTTCTTGTTTAGGCAACTATTTTCATGTTTGAGGCTACTAAAAGCAACTATTTTTGTTCATTTATTACTGTGGCAACTCTGTTTCGAGGGCCTACATTTTTTAGGGTCATAATATTAATTTTTTTAAATTTTAATGTTATATATGTATTAACTATTAATATATATATATTAATTTGCAGATAGGTTAATTATGTTTTAATATTAAAAACAATTGAAATTATATGAGATATCAAACATACTTAAAAACCGTTTTTATTAAATATAATCCGATATTTTTGTTTGTTTATTCATTGTTGTTATTCATTATAATGACTGCTAAGTCAACCAACGATCCAACGAATATGCACTGAGTTCAAATTACGAAAATGATTTTCGTTTGTGAATGGTGCTCCACCCACTTCATGGGAAAAAATTATCTTTCAAGTGTTAATATGGTGTTTGTGGTCATTTGTGACTCATGATCAGTATTAAACACAAAGGAAATGAAATCAGATAAAAATGTTACATCTGTAACTTCTTACAAGATAAGAGAGGCAATTCTAAGAATGGAAGCTTTTGAGGTGGTCAGCAGTGAGTCTTTTCATGTCTGAAAAAAATGCACACAAAGATAAAATAAGAGTTTTACATCATTTGAAAATCAATAATAAATGGAGAAAATGAGGTTGGAATTTGGAGAAAAAAAGTCGTTTTTCAGGGGTTTATTGCTTCCGAGAATATCGTAATATTGAGAAGAGGATAACAAAGTCATATGGACGTTCGTCGGGACCACGAAACATTATCGTAATAGAATGAGTTATTGTTGTGTCGGATATCGTAGTAGCGAGAGTTCACTGTATAATTAAATTAGTCCAAAATGCTGAATCTGCAAACTTGTAACAATGCTCAATGCTTTATATAAATCTTTTATTTATTTTTTTGTTCTCATGAGCAACTCATAATCCTTTTCCCCTCCAGAATGTCCTCCCTAGCAACAATTTTACCTCGGCCCCAGTTGGGTTCAAAATTGGCTTGACTTGGATTATATAAGAACAGCACCTAGGGACCACTATTGGGATGACTATATTTTTTTAATATTGGTCCTAGAATGCCCTATATAGGACCTTCTGCGTTGGATAAATAATGGTTATAAAAAATTGACGCATCTCACACTTTAACTCCCTGTTTCTTCAAAAATAATTATAAATCATATAGTGCATCCATTAGAAGTTTGATGGTGCTGTTGTAAAATGCTTCGTAGAATATAAATGTTCTTACAAATCTAATCATAATCTGTAAATAAATAAATGGTGTGATTTTTTAGCATACTTACTGAGTACAATCTTAACTTATTCAAATTTTTTTTTTCTTCCAGGTATCTTTCCCTTCTCTTATCATGTCGAAAAAGGAAAAGCTGTTGTGCCAATATTTAGGAGATATAATTGTCCTTACTAATATAGTGAGTTTCCTGGATGTATTAAGTAACATTAAAGAGTTACTTAATACTGAAGAAGATATATCGCAAATTAGCTTTGAAAATATCACTGATTCTGAAGAAATAAACCTTCTGGATCAATTAAAGTTGCTAGTCGATCCTTTTAAGGATGCAAAAGTGAATTTACTTCTAGATCTATTCTCTAATGATGATTATTTTAAAACTGTTGCGTGGGAAAAATCAGTGAAAAAGCTTGAGCCACTAATATTTGCTGAAGAAACCATAAAAGAAGCACCAAATGAAAATACTAATGTTCCTCTTAAAAGACTAGCCAGAAAACTTTTTGATATATTAAATATATCGCAAGAAAATTTCCCACCTTTTATTGACTTAGTATCATTTCTTTTGAACGAAATGCATCATTCTGAAAAGACTTCTTTGAAAGAAACTTTGGATAAAATAATAGAGGAAACCGAGAAGATTTTGAAGGATAGTCCTATTTACTTTAAATATGTATCAAAGCCACCATTCCATAAAACTAATTTTTCAAATATATTAGGAATAGGAATATTTATTGCTAATCAATCCTGTGACGCCCTTGTCGAAAAAATTTTGGACTTAATATTGGAAATTGATAGAGGCCATTCAGATTTTTCTATATCCAGTCAATCAATAATAGGATATTCAATGATATTAGCAATTAATCCTATAAAACTTTATATAGAAGATATCTATAGCACCTGTAGATTCAGATCATTTTCATCTATAGAACGAAGTAAATCAGCATTGAAAATTATCTTCAATGAGTATTCTAAATACACGCCTCCCACTCCAGAGTATCAACAGATAAAAAAAAGCATAGATTTACTGAACCAAATTGATGAAAAATTTTGTGATTCTAGTGACACTGAATAAGGATTTGCAAATCCATAATTCAATGTTGAAAGCAATCTGCAATATCGTGTTTTTTTTTTTTTTTTATTATTATTTATTTTTATTTCTAGATTGCCAAGTGGCGGAGACTGAATATTTATTTTTTTTTTTCATCAGAATTGGTTAATTCTTTTTTATAATAAAGAGAATATTGAATGAAAAATTGGTTTAGTTCAGTGGCGTTGATTAAATGTATGTTTGAGGGAGTTATTATTTACAGATGTACTCCAATACTCCTTTCTGTTTTATGTTTAGTTCATGCGAGAATCAAAACGAAGCACCTATATCAGTTTCATTTCGATTTCAGCCAAAACATTCTGATTGTGAGTATAAATTTATTACGCAGATTTCTTGAGTTCTGACGAACTCAAGTGGCATGAATGCGATTGATTGATTTGAAAGTTTAACTACTACAATAACTTTTCCTTTAGAGAGTTGTAATTTTAATTAGAATTTTTTTTTTCTTAAATTGGTGTCTACTTTTTAATGTTTTTTTTTCTTTTTTAGTTCGGCAAATACTATTATGTCAAGCAAAATCTTAAAAGTGTTTTTAGTATCAAATTTAATACATTTGTTATGAATTATGTAAAAAAACAACTATTATCAATCTCGAAATTAGTGATTTTCCTGAAAATTTTTAAACACTAATAGTTCTTTTACACCAGTATATATTTCAAGGCTGTAAAGTGTCGGAGGCGGCCTTTAAGCAACTACTAGCAATGCATTTAGAAATTGACTAGAAACTTGACTTTTTCCTTGCTGGACTTGATATCCTACCAGCGATTAATTACAAATTTTTTAAAGTATGAAACAAAATAATTGCCAATCTAAAGTACGCAAAATGTTTTTCAGTAAGTATTGATTCAATACCTGTAGATTAGTTGACATTTGCTGTCCTATATGTGAAAGACGGAATTCTTGTTATTTGGATTTTATTCCAATTGAAGGACATAAATCTGAGTACTTGCCTGATACTATTGTATCTTTTACTAATGACCAAAGCATAAATATAAGTGATTGTGGTAGACAAACATAAGATAACGCACCATATATGGCAGGCAAATACTCAGGTTTACAAGAAAGGTTTAAAATATAATCCCCCCCCCTTTTTTTTTCGTTTAGAGGATTATTTTTAAGAAAGACAAATTAAATTATAACTCTTTTATTTAACTTTTTTTTAAATAGCTTTGGAAAAAAAGTTATGCTTAGGAACAATTTAAGGTGCTTCGTTTTCTACCTCAAGTAATTATTTTACAACCTGAAGTATCTAATTTAATGCTTGTTAGTAAAAAATTACCTGATAAATAAACATCTCTGTATTTATTTATCAACCTATGGTGTGTCGTTTTACATTTCAGGTTATTATAAATCTGTTGCATTTTTAATAGCTGGAAAGGTACTTTTTTACTAACGTGAGGTGTATTATGTTCTACCTCAGGTTTTTATATTTTCCCCTCAAGTATATATTTTAATGCTTGTATAGGTATTTATTTATCTACCTAAGGTGTGCCGTTTTACACTATCAGTTGTTATAAATCAACCTCAATCAAGTTTATTTTTTTGACACTTGGAGTTTTTTTTAAAAAAATTAAAGTAAGGTGTTCCATATTCCACCTTAGGTCATTATTTCGTAACCTCAAGCATAGATTTTTGTATTTTTAAATTTATCACTACATGCTTACTACTGCATTTATCACTACATGCTTATATAGCTGTTTTTTTCTTCTCCTTTAATACTTTTGAAGGTAAAAATTCACAAACGTGAGGTGTTATACGGTCGACGTAGTTTATTAATTTTTAACCTCACTATTATATAAAGATGTAATATATATATTATATGAAGAATAATGCATATCTTTTCATTTTTTCACTAGTAAGAATCTTCATTTATCAACCTGAAGTTTTTAAGATAACACCTTCGGCAGTAATTGCTTCTTTTATTTAACTATAAAAGAAAGTTTCAAATACAAAATTCTTCTGTAATTTTAATAGATTCAAATAAATCATCTTGAAAAGACATTAATCCGAATTCCACAGTTTAAACTGTGGAATTCGTAAAAATTCAAAGTGATCAATATATTATTTTTGGGAACTTACTTTTTTATAAGATTGATGTCTGAAGTGCTTGAATTTTAAAAGCTATAAAACTGCAAATTTAAATAATTAGTCAGATGAAATTCAAAACACTTTTATTTAAAACAAAATTTTTTTTTACAAATCAACAAAAATATGTATTTTTTCACCCTGTTTGAACTAGGAAGTATTGAAACCTAAAAGAAAAAATATGAACTAAGAAAGTCATAGTTACAATAATAGCGACAGGGTTTTTCGTGATTTAAATTAACTGGATGGAATTAGTTTTCTTCTACAAATAAATGACATTCCAATTCCATCATTTCTATTCAATCCTCGTAGCTCAAAATGTGTGGCAGGTACCACAGTCACAAAATGAAATACACTGAAGAAAGTACTACCAATAACAACCTTTGCTTTCAAATATATAATTCCAATCTTATTTAGAAATTTTAACACTTTTTATTTTTCCATAACGGAACCTTCATCGTTCATTATGGTACTTGTAAGTTTGGTAATTAGATTTTCTTTCTTTTTTCCTTCAAATCTTTAAGCTCGATATGACTAGTCTATATTTTTAAACTTTTTGTCATATTTTATGAAACTAATAGTTTTTTAAAAATTTTGAGGCTGATTCTGAAAAAGACTTCCGTTATTGTCAATAACATCAGAGTTTCTTAAAAAAATTTTTTTTTTAATGTTTTAATCAATGTAATCAAGAATCAACTCCCCCATCAGAATTTTATCTGCGCCAGAATTCGATGAACGGGATACAATTAGTAGATTCATTGCTCTTTTGTGAAAAGCCGGGAAAACTGTCGGACTCTTGAGTGCTGATCAGGTCCGGACTGGGATCTAAAATCGGCCCAGGCATTTTAGAGATATCGGCCCTCTACTTCACATTAACACCGCGTGCGCGGCTTCTAATGTATCATTTTTAGGCATTATTTACTTATAAATTCTTATGAACGTAAGATAATTTATCGAAGTAAGAAAGTAAATAAAAATTGCTTAATAATCCTTTAGAGAATATATTTCAGTGTAAAATACGTGGTTCTTATGAGAAAACATAGGTTGATAAGATTAAAAAGAAGGTGAAAGATGAAGAGTAAATAAAAATATTTACATACTGCACATACATAAATGATTTATATAAACATTTTTTTTTTTAAAATGGATATCATGCTTCTTCAAAATTCATTAAATTAAAATTTAATTTAATGACTTTTGAAGAAGGTCACTATTTTCTGCCACTTTATCGATTATGCTGTTACTATCTAATTTCATTCATAGATCTTTTTTCTATTGCCAATACCATGAGAGCATTCAAGTTATCCGAAGATAAAGTACTCCTTACTCGATTTTTAATTACTTTTAATGTGGAGATTGATCTTTCACAAGCCACCTGACTTATTGACAAAATGTTAGTAAAAATTTAAATGCTAGAACAATTAAATTGTAAGAATTAGTCATTAAATTGAATCTCTATAATATCTTGTAGCAACAAATAGCGCAATTTTTGCACTTACTGCGTGTCTCACATTTTAGATTTACTTCTTCTGTTTCCAAAGTAAAATCGTTATTATCTTCATTTAAATCATTTTCTCTGATTAATTTATAATCTTCTAAGTATGCATTTTTCAGTTTTTCCGCAAATTTTTACCTATAAGCTGTTTCGTCAAACTTTAGCAAGAGTTTGCTTAACTCATTTAGTTCGCCAGATTGAAGCTTGTTAAGACGTATTTCAGGGAAACGTTTCGGATCTAGATAGGAAAAATCGGCGTACAATTTTCCATTTGCGGGAAACCGGCGTTCCATTGACACTACAACTGTGCTGAAAATAATGTTATGGACGTTTATCTTATAAATGCAATGGTTTCATCATCAAAAATTGTTTCATTCGACACTGTCTCACCCGGCATGAATTTTCTTTTCTTCAATTTTTTTGTGTGGAAAGTTTGTTTGAATTCCTATTTCAGTTTCATCAAATTCCTTATTTGCGCGAATAATAAAATCATCTGTAATTTTTTGTGCACCTTCAAAATCTCTCACTATTTTTTTTTTAGTTCTGAACACATTTGTGATACCATTCCAAAAGCTTTTTCTCCGGATGCCCCTGACGGGGTTAAGCTTTGATTCCAAAAGCTTTTACGATGTCTAAACCTGAGGTTTGCAAAAATTGGGAGAGCGGTGTAGTTAATTCCAATATTCTTGAGAATATTTTGGCGGTGATTACTGTTTCATTTTTGCAAAATGATTCTAAAAATATTTTTGCCTTTGCACGGATATCTGGCTTGAAATTTGAATTTTGTTGCATAATTTCTAAACTTGTAATCAATGTGATATTATGGCTTTACAGTTAATATGAGTTTGAAAAGGAACCAAAAATTTTGATTAATGCAGAATCTTTGGACCACCAACATGTTTCTCCAATAGTTGCGAGCCTTTCTTTATTTCCGTGCTCGTTACTTTGTTCCCAAATTCACGGAAAAATACTGCGACGCTATTTAGTAGGCTGGAAAAACGATGCAGTTTCAATTAGTACCTTCGTGGTATCTCCTAAAACTAAATTTAAGATATGTGCATAACACCAAACATGAATTTGACCAGGGGACTCTTTGGAAAGCAATGAAGAAACTCTTTTATATTCACCTTGAATATTTGCAGCCCCGTCAGTTGAATTACCAATGCACTTTGTTATATCTATATTACAAGACTTTAAAACTGAATCCACTAAATAAAACATATTCTGTCCGGTTGAAGATTTACACTCTATAACCGCGAGAAGTCTTTCATATACACGATCGTCTTTCACATATCGTAGTACTATAATTGAGCATGAAATATCCTGTGTTGTATCCACTTGTAAAGAAAACATACCAGCTGCTTGTACTTCCATACTAATATTCCGTGTTATAAGTTGTCCAATTGATTGAATAATTTTATTTATGGTGGATTTGGAAAGAAATGTTAACAAAGACCCTCTGCATTTAC